ACAAATTGTAGAGCCAGCAAAAGAAGGTTCTATGCACGGCGGCGCTATCAGCCCTCCTCTATGCAGCACCAACATGACGCTCAGCTCCCAATCGCGCCAAGCTACGGCAGAAAGTTGAAGCAGTTGGAAGTAAAATGGCATTACGAGTATGCAGCGCATATCGCACAGTCTCCACTGTAGCTAACGCAGTAATTGCAGATTTTTCACTGATAGAGCTGCACATATTAGAACGATCGGATAGGCTAAACGGCAAGAGCAGATGCTCGGGAACTGCTACTCCAACGATGGCAAGAGGCCTGTGACACAGCTGAGAAGGGTCGCTGGACGTGACGTCTCATCAGGAACGTGGAGCAGTGGCTGACCAGAGAGTGGGGGGAGATCGACTTCCATCTGAAAAAGTTTCTCTCGGGGCACGGATGTTTTGAGGCCTATATCCACCGATTTCGTTTGACAGAAGATCACGGATGTGTGCACTGTGGCTTTCCGGATGACATATTCCACAGGTTTTTTTAGTGTGACAGGTGAAATACAGAACGTAACAACTATCAGAACCGGCTGGAGGCCGATGTACGCCCGGACAGCATCGTCCAGCTGATGCTCTCCTCCCAAGCAAACTGGAATGCCGTGGCTACTTTTGTTCGCACCGTCCTCGAAAGCAAAAAAGCAGCAAGACATCTCACGCTGAGCACCGCAGGGGGGCCTGAACTCATGTATATGGGGGAGAGGACATGTAGGGCAAGAAGATCATAGAATGGACTGAACAAAGAAGAAAAGACAGCCTCCAACTTGAAGATATGTCTACCAAGATAGTTCCGGGAAAGGGGCGGTTCATAGGACCCACTCGCTCCGGGTTGCGGCCTGACGACGGTTCCAAAAAAAAAAACTATTACTTCCAAGTTATCTAAAAATCATGTATACATTATAAAAAATGATGTTTGTTTCCAGTGTAATTTAGAATCAACGAAAAAACTTCCTCTACTTCTGCTCTTTCTCATGGTATGTTACAGCAGCACAATGCACTCTAAATTACAAAAAAACAAATTACATTTTTTGTGAAACAAAGCACTTGATGGTGACAAAATTGTTCATTTACTCAATATCAAAATGCAAAGTGTTATTTTTTATGCAATTTTGTGCCTTTGTTGCATAGTAATACTAGTTTTGGGAGTGCAAATTCAAAATATTGTAAATTAACATTTTCATGAAAATTAGAAAACTTCAGAGTAAATAACTCACCCCAAAAGTACAAAACTGTGATACAGCAACTATGATCTATCTATTTTCATGTGGTAGAAAATAAAAATCTACCATCTCTTCTAATAAACCACTTGAAAGCGACTCAATTATTTGCTCATTCTAATGATGTGAACCATTATTTCTCGTGTTTTTATTTTTTATTTTGCAGTAGTGAGTTTTAAGGTTTTTGTTTCCATTTTCTTAAATCCCTACTTATATTATAAATTAATGATAAATTGTGGGTGTTTGTTACTCAACCACGCCAAAATGGCTGAACGGATCTGGATGCAAATTGGTACATACACAGGCTACATTTTATCCAGAAAAATAACTTCTATTAAAAAAAGCTTTTATGGCCACTCTCAGGCAGGAAAACTCGACATTATTGCTCTGCCGGCCTTTTCTGCCTGAAGTGTGAGATTCTCCAGAAATAGCATACTCATTAAAACCCCTCAGTCGTTCGCCACTCATCCCACCACGGTAATGCTTCCAGCATGTCTTCATAGTGGGTAGCTTTACGCTAGGTTGTCATACCGAAGGTATTAGTCATATCGTACACATCACATACATACTTTTATACCTATGTACATGTACAACCAAGCAAAATAGAAACCTACTATTGGTTCCTTGGTCCATTTTTGTTCTCCCGTACCTTACTTAGCATCATTCGCCTCACTACTGGTTAAATATCAACCTATTTTTCCTCGCGTATATGCATGGCAAAATTGTCAGTGAGTCTCTCGCCGAGCGTCAGTTCCGGCTGTGTCTGGTAGTCAACCAACCTACCGCACTGGAGGTGGTTAGGAGTATCCTCCTCTTCATTTACGCAATTCACATACTCTATTTCCTACCACCTTCAGGTAGCTGTCAAAACAACTATTTCCTGCGAGGAACTATGTGGTATAGTAATTTATCCGCACCGCTCCCTTGTCAATCCAAGTTTTAATATCTGGGATTAGCCTTCATGCACCATGACCAGTTGCATCCCATATCTAATGCCATCTGACAAAAAGCGCTTCACTTTCGCCTCTTGAAGCCTCGACGCCCTTTTTATAGCGTGCACATCTTTCCGCAGCCAGCAAATCAATTGGCGGGATATCAGCCACCACCAGCAGTGAATCGGCCGACACCGTTCAGTAGGCACATATCACGCGCAGCGTTACTTTTCGCTGGCATCTCATTTCACGGGCTACAACCCAAATCACTTAATGGATTTGACACGGCGTTTCATGTGCAGAAACGCTCAGTTGTTGGTTTGACCAAAATGAGTAGGCATGTGTAAATAGGAAATTTGCATCGTACATTTACTGAATTTCGGCATTCGTTTTCTTAAAGTGATCATTTGCTTTGTGATTTGTTTTACTTCAAGTATAATCCTGTCTAGAATAGTTATTGGATTCGGATAAGTTAAGATATGTCACACACACACACATTGCTGTAAGATACTTCACGTATTTATTGTAATTCTGATTACACATATGTTAATATAGGGTAGCATTAGAGTGTTGAATAAAAAATTGTCATTGCCAAAGTAGCTATTACATTTCTTTGAATATTGCATTTCTTTATGTGAAACCAATCTCCTTCTCATTAATGCAAATTGAATGGCCTGCACTCTACACTACTTCCATGGTAGCGGAGCCGCGGTTTTAGGCTAGTAATTCATAAATTTTGCAATTCATCCAATGCTCTTTGGAAGAAATTTCATCGCAAAGTGGGCCTTTGTCTACCACAGTAATACAAAGGGCATGGACATGTGTATTAAAAATGAACATGGGGACTAGTCCTTTATTTTCTGCAACATAACAATACATAGTGTATCACGCTTAGGTACTTTTGGGATGTATCGTTTGCTCTGAAATTTTGTAATCTTGTTAAAAATACTAATTTTATTCACCTGTATTAAATTTGATGTTTTTGCAATATTTTGAATCACAAAGGACAATCGTGGGCATTTCCTCAATGAGAAAGAGGAGCATAAATAGAAGGATTCGTTACCCGAGCGACATACGTTTAGATGGCGCCTTAAACATAGGTACAAAGTTGTGTATAGTTATAGTCACCGGTCACCGTTCTTGGCGGGTCAAAGTAAGACTACCAGTATCCCTTTATATATCTCCATCTCCCTCATACGAACGTTTGTTCGGTAAGCTCCAAGACATACGTTTTTTGTGTGTCTCCGCCTCGAAAACTTTGTCGTTACGTATGAGTGCCCTTCAATCAGATTTGTCAGAGTGACAACTCACTTTACATCGGTGTGCAATTTGAGTTGTCCTGTTATCAATCTTCATTCAGTATGTCATCGGCATATGTAATTATCTGATGTCTACAGTGATAGATCATTCCTTTTGTTTGGATCTTTGCTTCTCTTAACTAGCTTCTAAGATCAAGTTGAATAGAATTGTAGATAACGCATCATCCTGTTCCAAACCCTTTCACCTGCCTAATAATTTTCCTCGGAATTTTAAATCTGGCTATAGCTCATTCGGTAAAAAATCTGGAAATATGTTTGTTATTCTAAAAAATCGTGCAAAATGAGAACGTTTTCGATATTTCGGTAAACAAGGTCTCATTTCTGTATACCTAAAAATCGGTAGGTTTGGCAACGTGGACTGAAGCAGGAAAAACAATGCTGCATCAACGAATTCAGCAATATTGGTAATGAAAAATGATGATAACTGTGTATGTGCCAGCAACCCCTTTTGGTCCCTAAAACTGTTGAAATCCTTCCTTGAGGGTAGGAAATTTCCGACAAAAATTAATAGCGTTCTCTTGACAACACGGCCCATCAAAGCCGCTGTCCCTTAAGAGTTCGGTTCTTGGACCAGTCCCTTATTAACTTTTTATTCATGACGTCCCTTGCCCCAGCAATTCTGGGAATCTAGTTCACGACTGGCTGCAAAGTGCAGTGGACGAGGTATTGGAATGGACGAATCGGTGGCTGATCAGAATTAAGCATTCGAAAACGTAGCGGCGCCCCGGTCTCAGTGAATGGAGCTCGGGTACCATGAGAAAGTTCTGCTAAGTATCTCGGTATCACTTTTGACAAGGGGATGACCTGGCAGGAGCACACTGAAGCGTTAAAAACTAAATTCCAAATCTTGTTTCGGCAACTCTACCCTATGCTATCAACATTAAGTTTGATCAACAAAATTCGGCTATATAAGAGGGTTATTAGCCCAGCACTCACTTACGCAAGTGCGGCTTGGTATTTTCTCGCCAAAACGCATTTGAGTATCCTGCGGGTTTTGAAAAAGAGAACCTTGCGTACAATCACTAACGCCCCATGGTATGTCTCCAATGGGACCCTTCAGAGAGACCTTGACTTCCCTTACCTAAGGGACTACATCAAACAACAAGCGCAGCTACGTTATAGTCAAGCGGAATCTTATAGCAAGCCGTTGTTGCGCGAGTCAGTAGACTACACAGTTGAGCAAGTTCACAAACACACAAGGCCGCGACTCGCACTGTGAACAAAATTAAATCGTGCGACAGACAATGACGAATAGAAGATGTGCCAGCAAAGTCTAAAGAAATCATTGATTTGTCTGATGTGCTGTTTTGCACACAATCCTGTACCGTGTACTTTGTGATTCAATAATAACATATCAAACGAAAGAAGAACATCTGTATTTTATATTCAATTAAAGTGTTGTCTGATTTTTGGGACATGTTAGATATTGAAAACAGTTATGTTCAGCTGTCTTTGTTCGTTCCTAGAATTCATTTAGCTTTGTTCATCTTTTCTATTTCATTTGTTTTAGTATAAAAAGTGAGCCGAACGAATTTGACTGGGTTGAATATGCTGTGAGTGATAAGGGAAAAATGACGACAGGCCGCTGTGCAGTTGAGCGAGAACTGAGCATCAAAAATGAGGGCAATGAAATTATACATCCACTTGAAGCAGTTTCATTTAAGTAAGTGCTTTTATTATTGTTAGTTCGTCCCACTGAGGAAAAATTAGCTAACAAAAAAAGTACATGGATCAATTCGGCCAAAACAGGCCAACAACAATTAGTATTTGATACTGCTACTTTTTTAATTCCCGTACAAAGTCAACAAGTTTTTCATCAATTTGTACAGAAATCTGTACTAGGCTCACATTTTTTTATATTGTCCTATTCTATTGTTTTTTTTTTTTAGTGTAGGAGTATGATTTAGGCATATTGAATTATACAAAGTGGTTTATTTTCAAACTGCATACTGAATGTGATGGATAACCGACGTGTATCGTAACGTTTAGACAAACGCAACCAGAAGAGGGCCATACAGCTGCCCTTTGACCTTTCTGAGGTGCTTTGCATCCCATAGTGGCAACAGAAGTATTTGCCGAGGTTTGACTCCAATAATGTTTCTGCTGATTTTGCCCATTATTTTACTACTTTTTGTTATATACCTTTCTCCGCATGATCATTTTCTCTTTGTAGATCCTTGGGCTTGAAGTACCACAGCAAGTGGCTATAACCGGCCACGTGGTTGTGGTTAGATGTCTCCTTGAAAATTCGAGGTATTCTAGTCATTTTATCCTACAATGTGTAAGTTGGCTCTTGTTGTGGACTTCGTGTGTCGATTTTTTCCCTCTCCATCTTCGTTTCCTCAGGTTACACCCGTATCCGGATGTGTGGACATGAGTATCTACTTTTGTAGTTGGATATGTACATTCATTTCGGGCCTGATGAAGCCACCCAGCAGAAATACGTATCGCTCGGATTACCTATCCTATTTTCTGCTCGAATCCACTTTAATCCTTTTTGCGGATTTTGCCCATTATTTTACAACTTTTTGTTGTATACCTTCCTCCGCATGATCATTTTCTCTTTATATATATATATATATATATGGCTTTGGCAATGACTACTGCTCATATATATATATATAGCTTGAGACGTGGTCATTGTCGTCTAGACCAGTTAGGTGAAAAATTAAAGCTTCTGCCTTTTGTTGGGTCTTCGACAAAATTTAAGCAAAGAGGACTCTTTATACTTTTTTTAATTCTCTCTAGCTTTCAATGGACTTTGCCATGATCATCAGGAGCTGCAATTACAATGATAACAGTAGCAACAACAGTGTAAAATGAATTTAAATTGACTCAACTTACAGTAGTATGTGAGGATGTTGCTAATTGTTGTTTACGTATAGGATGAGGGAAACGTCCAGTAACATGGTGAGAGCTGGATAGATTGTACAATGGTCAAAATTATATAAAATATGACAAGAACAAGTTAAAAACAGATTAAAAATTATTTAAAAAACATTAGAGCATTACATCGTGACGCCACTTGATGATTGCACAAATTAGTGGTCATGGAATAATGAGTGAGATGAAATCCTTTGACAGAAGGCCGAAGGATGTCAATGTCTGTGTTGAAAGATGGAACGAATTGCGGGCGTGTGCCAAACGTTGCCAAATCACTTCAGATGATGTGATTTTCAGAAATTTATGTAAGAATTTGTTAAACCGACCAGAGGCAGTTGAATAAACTATATTTTAATTAATGGGAATTTAAATTCACAATTATTAATAAATCGTGAGAAGAGAATTATTATATTTTGAGTGGAATGAAATTTACTGGTGGAATCGGCCAAAACACAGATTCTAATTATGGTTGTGAAGAGTCGAAATTTGGGGAGATATGTAAGTTCTCCAATTTTTCGCAGTTTAGCAAATATGAGTAAATGACACTCAGTTGTTTAACATCTGTCTTTTTGTTGATACAGTTGTTATTCATGAAGATGTGGGACATTTCCAGGAATAAACGTTTGGAAAGGTGTTTTTCTTTATCAAGAACTTTGATACTTGTGTAATTCATAGAATGCCCTGTTGTGTTAACATGAGATGCTAGAGCGCATCTTTCAGGATGAAGCCTAGCATCACTTTTGTGTGATGTAATCCTTCCTTTAAGAGATCTGGAGGTCTGACCTATGTATATTTGGTTGCAGTTGTTGCAATTGATGGAGTAGACTGTGTTGGTTAAGCCAAGCAGCGGGACTTTGTCTTTCATTTTTGAAAAAATGCAGTTTATAGTGAGGACGGATTTGCAAGCAATTCGAAAGTTCAAAGTACTGCACAATCTGATCCGCTTAGGGGTCAGTTCCTTGATATAGGGCAGGACAGCAAAACCAGGTCTGGAGTCCGGGTTGGTGCTTGTACTGTTTGGATTGATGTTATTATTGGGAATTACATCAGTTCCGTTATTAGGGGTTGTGCGACTATTACCTGCATCAAAAGAGTTCGGCAAAATATTGAAAGGTGAACTAAATAAGATCTTGTTAATCAGACACTTCGGATAACCATTATTGATGAACAGTTTTGATAGTTTACGTAAATTTGAGGTATGGAAGGTATTATCTGAGATGCTGATTACCCTTGTTTTCATCTGTTTTACCAAATTGATTTTAATCCCTAGCTTATGGTATGACCTAAAATTGAGAAACCGACCTGAGGCCATAGGTTTCTGGTACCAGTCTACCAATAAACTGTTGTTGTTGGTGCGAATGAGTCTTGTGTCTAGAAAGGCGACAGACAGGTTCTCATCTTCTTTTTCAATGGTAAATTGGATGTAGGGGTCATAGCTGTTGAATTCTCTGACAATACCATCCAGACCTATCGAGGGGAGGCATAAAATAATGTCATCTACGTATTTTTTTATGAAGAAGAGGTTATAGGGTAGTGTCGGAATAACAGTATCAAGCAGATCATCCATGACATATTCTGCCAAAATTGGTGATAGAACAGATCCCATAGGTCAACCATGTGTTTGAGAATATATTTTGTTGTTGAAAGAGAAATAATTGTTATGAAAAAGGAATGTTATAATGTTGGTGAAAGATTCTAGAGATATGTTGCAGTGTTGACTTATCTCATTCCAGTGATTATTAATAGTTCTTGTACATGCATCCAGATAGATGTTGCTGAAAAGCGACACCACATCAAGACTGGCGATAATATGATCGGCTGGTATTGTCAATCTGTTGAACTGACGAGAGACTTCAAATGAGTCTTTGATGTAGTAATCATTATCTGCATGTGCTGATTTTAGTGTTGTCGATATTAATGAAGACAAAGCCTGGGTGGCTGAACCTATTGATGCAACTATAGGTCTAAGAGATCTGGAGGTCTGACCTATGTATATTTGGTTGCAGTTGTTGCAATTGATGGAGTAGACTGTGTTGGTTAAGCCACGCAGCGGGACTTTGTCTTTCATTTTTGAAAAAATGCAGTTTATAGTGAGGACGGATTTGCAAGCAATTCGAAAGTTCAAAGGACTGCACAATCTGATCAGCTTAGGGGTCAGTTCCTTGATATAGGGCAGGACAGCAAAACCAGGTCTGGAGTCCGGGTTGGTGCTTGTACTGTTAGGATTGATGTTATTATTGGGACAATATAGTCGCACAACCCCTAATAACGGAACTGATGTAATTCCCAATAATAACATCAATCCAAACAGTACAAGCACCAACCCGGACTCCAGACCTGGTTTTGCTGTCCTGCCCTATATCAAGGAACTGACCCCTAAGCGGATCAGATTGTGCAGTACTTTGAACTTTCGAATTGCTTGCAAATCCGTCCTCACTATAAACTGCATTTTTTCAAAAATGAAAGACAAAGTCCCGCTGCTTGGCTTAACCAACACAGTCTACTCCATCAATTGCAACAACTGCAACCAAATATACATAGGTCAGACCTCCAGATCTCTTAAAGGAAGGATTACATCACACAAAAGTGATGCTAGGCTTCATCCTGAAAGATGCGCTCTAGCATCTCATGTTAACACAACAGGGCATTCTATGAATTACACAAGTATCAAAGTTCTTGATAAAGAAAAACACCTTTCCAAACGTTTATTCCTGGAAATGTCCCACATCTTCATGAATAACAACTGTATCAACAAAAAGACAGATGTTAAACAACTGAGTGTCATTTACTCATATTTTCTAAACTGCGAAAAATTGGAGAACTTACATATCTCCCCAAATTTCGACTCTTCACAACCATAATTAGAATCTGTGTTTTGGCCGATTCCACCAGTAAATTTCATTCCACTCAAAATATAATAATTCTCTTCTCACGATTTATTAATAATTGTTAATTTAAATTCCCATTAATTAAAATATAGTTTATTCAACTGCCTCTGGTCGGTTTAACAAATTCTTACATAAATTTCTGAAAATCACATCATCTGAAGTGATTTGGCAACGTTTGGCACACGCCCACAATTCGTTCCATCTTTCAACACAGACATTGACATCCTTCGGCCTTCTGTCAAAGGATTTCATCTCACTCATTATTCCATGACCACTAATTTGTGCAATCATCAAGTGCCGTCACGATGTAATGCTCTAATGTTTTTTAAATAATTTTTAATCTGTTTTTAACTTGTTCTTGTCATATTTTATATAATTTTGACCATTGTACAATCTATCCAGCTCTCACCATGTTACTGGACGTTTCCCTCATCCTATACGTAAACAACAATTAGGAACATCCTCACATACATAAGTTGAGTCAATTTAAATTCATTTTACACTTTTGTTGCTACTGTTATCATTGTAATTGCAGCTCCTGATGATGATGGCAAAGTCCATTGAAAGCTAGAGAGAATTAAAAAAAGTATAAAGAGTCCTCTTTGCTTAAATTTTGTCGAAGTACCCAACAAAAGGCGGAAGCTTTAATTTTTCACCTATATATATATATATATATATATATAATATCAGTATCCAGTGAAGATTACTGTATCATCTTACAGAAACAAATCACTTTTCTACAGAACTTATGTGCTAGAAATCATCTGCACTTGAACATATCTAAATGCAAAGTAGTAACATTCAGTCGTAAGTCCTAGCTTATAACGTATCGGTATACTATTGATTTAGGTGTCACAAGCTTTTGAAAGTAGGCAAGTTTTTGATCCTATCCATTTTTCTGGGAGCCTCGTACCAAGTTGCACACACATAGGGCCTTTTTATTTCATAAGTTTGATAAGCTAAATGATCTTCAAGACAATAAAGTCTCCAACTATCTTTTTTGCTATCCAATCATTATAAAAATAACTATGTCTTTAGCTTGCTTGTTATCAGATTGATTTTCTTTACACATTTTTTGAAATTTTATAAAACGAATCAGGGTTGTTATGATCTGGTCAGTGTTTTAAACACTGTTTAAAACAATGAGGATGTTTTAGACCAATTTATTTTAAACTGTTTAAAACATGTTTTAAACACTGTTTTTTGTCGTTTCTAAATTATTCAAGTTTTTTTTATATATGTTTAAGTATCATTAAAATTGATTTTATTTTGCAAAACGAAACTAAAAAGGTCATAGATTAAATCATTTGGGTACTAAAAAATATACTTCATTTTTTATTAGTTAATCAAACATGAAACTAGTGAACTAATACTAGTGGGAAAAAATCTGTTTCTTAACGAATGAACGAACTTAATAAACTGCATTGAACTCTAATACTAGTAGACTACAAGCAACAGAATAATCATATAATATGACTATGTATTTACTTGTATAATAATATTAAATAAGTTACTTAACAAATTTCTATAAAAGTATGCAACAAAAAATAAAATCCTTAAATCCATATTTGTAAAATATAAAATCATGGGAAATATACATAGAAGAAATTTTTAGTTTTCACTACTTTTTACGGAACTCCAAGTAAAAAAATGTACCTTTTTCACAATTCTCCAAGCTACTTAACTTTGAGGAAATAAGTTCGCTAGAAACATCATTGTCAGTATCAGAAGTATCTGATATATGAATATTTTGTTTTTCTAACAAACTTCCTTGTTTAAGTTGTTCACAATTTTTAATATGCTTGCGGATTCTAGCCATCAGTGGCACTACTCGTATATCCATATTGCTGGTTGAACATTTTGCTCTTTTATTTATTTTCGAACCAGCTTTGGCATCAGTCTCCTTAAAATATTTCCACACGGGATCCTTTCTCCTCCCTGACATCGCCTTTCTTTTTTTGCCGATCTTTTATGCACAAAAAATAAAACACACCACCACGCTACGACTTCGCACATTTAACTGCGTTAAATTACCCAAAGGCAAGCGGTAGTTTACCGATGTCCACTTTTAAATTAGAAATGTGCTCTGATAGAGCTGGATCAAAAATAGTAATAACACTTTCAAGGAACTTCATTTCCTTTGCTAGATTATATAAGCAATATTTTTTTTTACTATTTTAAACATGTATTAGCAGTGTTTTAAATATGTTCTTTTTCAGCTAAACTTGAATGTTTTAAACAAAAACAAAGTTTTAAACAAAAAAAAACATGATTTTTGTTTTTTCTAAAACATGTTTTTTTCAACCCTGAAACGAATTTTATGTTATTAAGAATCTTCTATTGCCTGTAGTATCATGTTTATCTGGACAATCAAAACACATTTTTAATTATTCTTTATTGTGCGAAAGTTCGGTCCCAACGGTGACCTTCTTCAAGTGTATCTGGCACTTTTTTGACAATATTTTCTATTTTTCTGGCTTCCAGGTGGCACAGATAAATAAAATATTTTTAATTCAATTCATTCGACTTTATTTTAACAAATACAAAATGTACAAATGGCGAAGTCTGGCCAATGACAATTCATACTGAAAAAAGTGTTAATTGTACTTCAAGGTCTCCGTTGGGACTGAAACGTCGTACAATAAAGAAGAATTTAAAACATACGTGGTTTGATTGGCCAGATAAACATGGGGAATTATAAAGATGAAACCCACAGGATATGTTTCAAATGCAACAGAAATATTTATTTTTTATAGTTTGAGGTATTATAGAGTTTTACGATATATCATATTTTTGTGAACATACCTATAAAAATTTCGAGACCAGTCTTTTGAATAGATTTGACCTACTATTTTTCTTGGATTTTTTATTTTTTTTTTTTTTGTTGAAAAACATCGGATACTGTATCAGAAGTCGTAACGAAGGTGTGAGAAGTGTCAATCTACGCCATGTTTTCCATTGCTTCAGAATGAAAGCTGAATCTAGCGAAGGAGATAATTTTGATGAACATAGGGCAAGTAATCAAGAGTTCATGATTAATCCTAGTAAGGTAAAATCAGAAATTGATATGGATAGTGAAGCCTTCAAGATTTCAAAAATTACTGAAGAATTCACTATTAAGGGTAATAGTGAAACTAGTATGGATGCATCTTCGGATGTAGTAAATAGGTAAGTTGTTATTATTAATTTGTAGATGCACCATTAAAGCATTTGATAGCCTTGCTCGGGTTCTATAGTATTGCTTTGTGATTGGCTACACTGCCAACATTTTATGTATACAGGGTGACTTCGAAGTTGAGTCATTTATTTTAACAGTGAGTAGATCTGATCAAAAGAAATGTTTTTTTCCTTTAACGTTTTTGTGGTAAAATTTAAGTAACAAAGTTATAGCCCTTTAGAAGTTTGAGTACCGCCCTGTCTGAATAATAATATTATGTGCTCGTGTTTGGCAACAACGGATATAATCCGCCTTATCGGTTCATCGTATCGGAAACAAAAAAGCGAAAGACTTTGAAACGCTGATCACGATGTTTTTATTCAGTCAATGTATCAGTCGGTAACGCGTGAGTGAATAGTGGTGTTTGCTGCGTGGCTCAAACGAAATAAAAAATGGCACATGTTTATGCGGATCGGTTTCCCAATCGAGTGCAACCAACCCCTCGTGCCTTTGTTAATGTAGTACAACGGGCTCGTGAATCAGGTGACTTAAGACCTCACAAATACAGATCCGCACTGAAATACTTGTCGGGAGCATACTTTATAAAACAAGGTAAATTTTTTTTTTTTTTTTTATTTTTACACATATTTTGGTTTATCTTCCTTCTACAATCATTATCTGACAATTAATGACTCAACTTCAAAGTCTGTATATATATATATATATATATATATATATATATATATATACGTATATATATATATATATAACTATTCGAGACGCTTGTACCGAGTGACCCAATAATAAAGGACGTCAGCTACAAAAGTGACCAAGAGAAATTGCTTTAAATTATTTTCAGCTTCTTAAAATGGCCATTAGGGGGTGTATTGCCAATTTCAAAAATTCAAACGCCATTCTTTTGCAAAAGTGCGTTATTCATGTACTGATTTAATAACTCTTATGTCGATTGCTCCATCTTCTACCTTTATTCTTAATGTTATTTTTCCATATTTTATTTAGGGTCGGGAAGGGTTGAATGTCTTTTCAGAAAAAATAATATAAGTTCTGTTTGGCTGTACCGATCACAACCTTGATTAAATTCGAAAGAACTTGCACATGCACGCTTACTCAAGGCTTCATATTGTCTGTTCTCATGTATTTTTTGATCATTTCGAAAATTTCATATGCAACGGTGTAGTCTAATATATCATACGAATATTAGACGAAAATACCCCTGGTTTGCGCAATAATTGTAAAGTCTGGTTTTATTGCTGCAGGTTGTTCAAAGGAGTATTCAAAACATGGACGCATGAAATGGGTACACCAATTTTTGTGGGAAAACTTTTTATTCGACAACAAAGATGAGAAAACGTGTTTTTTGAGATTCAATCGAAAGTGTCGGCAGGAACGAAAAACCTCTTCATATAAGATTTTTAGGTATTTACTACAAAATGAGACTACACGTAAAAAGATCCGACTAATAGCAAAAAAGTTATTGCCGAAAACCGAGGCAAACTACAGGTTTTGGCACTTGTTGGTAATTCGTCGATGGCTTCTCGCAGGCATTTGAATTTTTTCAAATTTGTAAGATTCGTACTTCTAAATAACCACAACAAAATTAGAGCAAATTGGTGTAGTAGTTTTTGAGAATCTCTAATTCTTTATCTCAAAACACCTGTTTTCCGGCCATCACTACTAGTTTATTGAGCAACATACAGGGTTAGTTCAAAGGTTATTTTATAGCAAAATACATTAGCTTACCTTGCCGATATGAATCACAAACCATTCCGGAAGATAAATGTTATTTTTATGCAAAAAAGGATGGGTTAAGTTTTTTCTTTTAAACAAATACAAACATTGCGTAACTGTGAGTAATTCGTAACAAAAAGATGATAGACACATCCGCTTTGTCTTAAAATATGTATAGTAACGTATGTTTTTCTAATATCGAGGCGCATTTATTCAATTACTCACAAATACGAAATGTTTAAATTTGTTTTGAATAAATAAAAACGTAACCTTTGTTTTTTGCATGAAATAACATTTATCTTTCGGAATTGTTTGTAATTCATATCGGCAAGGTAAATTCGTGTATTTTGCTAAAAAATGCCCAGTATACCCCAATTTTGTTGCTGTTATTAATAAGTATGAATCCTACGGATTTGAAGAATTTCAAGTAGTTGCGTGAAATTATCGCATTACCAACAAGTGTCAAAACCTGCATTTTGCCTCATTTTTCGCCCACAACATTTTTGAAATTAGTCGGATCTTTTCGCATGTGGTCTCATTTTGTAGGTCTCATAAATACCTAAAAATCTTATACGAAGAGTTTTTTCGTTCCTGTCAACGGTTTCGATTGAATTCCAAAAAACGCGTTTTCTCATTCTTTGTTGTCAAATAAAAAATTTTCCCACAAAAATTGGTGTACCCATTTTATGCGTCCATGTTTTAAATACCCCCTTGAACAACTTGTAGCAATAAAACCAGACTTTACAATTATTCCGGGGAGGTTTGCTAATATGATTAGACTAGTATACTTTTTTAGTATTGCTCGGGAAGAGGATACAAAATCAATAAAATGGCAAAAACCGGAGATCAAGATCTTTATTCGTTATGGAGATATAATGCAAAATATGCTTAAATGACAATTTTCAAGTACTACTGGATAAAAAGAAAAATTCAAGCTATGAATAGTTATGTAAAATGTGTCAATGTGATACGATTTCAAGAAATTCTACTTGGACATTTATTTTTAGGTTTTTTAATACCGATAGGGGTTGTAACCGTTGCCTGATATTATGAAAAAACATGCTTCAATTATATCTCATATTTTATCTCAGTTAGCTTTGAAATACGAATAGTTCAGGAAATACCGAGTTTTTACCGCTTGTGGTAGTTATAACTTGTAAGAGTGCAAATTATGAATTTCTTTATATCCATTGTAATATTCATTAATTATAGCCGTATTCATAAAATGTAGCATGACGTGACATTCTAGAACAGAAACAAGAGAATAAACTGAAATAAATTAGAGCAAACGTCAAAACCGTTGAGGTCGCGTCATTTCCAAGTTGACTTTCGAAAATACCGCTTGAAAATGGCATAGCGTTTGATAGACTTGCAGCCTATTTTCAATGCATGTAAAATGCAACTGTTGCTACAAGGTTTTATGCTGTACGATATCAGCACAGGCGTCGCTGCAATAAGAGAGTGTTCAGCAGGTTTACCCAGCGACTAAGAAGTACGAGAAGTGTCCGCCGCCCCACTATTGTCAGAAAAAGGAAGGTTCGTAGCCTGACAAATGTAATGGCAGTGTTAGGCTACGGGGAAATTAGCTACCATTCCATCACAAGACAGCATAAATAAATATACAAGAAAGCGTAATTCCCTCTAATATCCTAAGACCTTTATTTTGGATTTAAGCTTCACCATATCATTTGGTTATGGGTCAAAGATCAACCAGTAATGACTGACAGTAGACTCGACTAGCGTTACTTGTTTTTAGGAAAGCTTACCCATAATTCCTATGTAGCGTCAAATATTTTGTGCCGAAGCTGCGTTCAAAAGCAATGGCAATGTGAATCTGCATAACATGCATTATTGGAGCCCCAATATCACAAATTGGCCGCAAGGTCTCCAACATCAAGATCGGTGGAGTGTAAATGTGTGGTGTGGTATTTTGTTGGGTAGAGTGATAAGCCCTTACATATTCGATGTCCCTTTAACTGGTGAGAGCTATCTGAACTTCATAACCAACAAATTGCCTATGTTTCTAGAAGACGTCCAACTGGCAGTTCGTCAAAATATGATATTCCAACATGATATCTGCGCTGCCCATTATGCGGCAAACGTCCGTCATTTCGGAATAGTTGGAAGAGAAAGTTTATTTCATTGCCCAGCTAGGTAATTCTTGGGACTACAACTATTTTGATCATCTAGTATAATCTTTATGATTTCATTTTTAGATCCCCTGTTTTTAATTGCATAGATTTTTATTTTTGTGGCAGAGTAAAAGATATCGTATATCGAACATACCCGACTACACGGGAATATATGAAAAAAAAAAAACATCGATCAAATCCTGTTGCCGAAATCGAAACTGCTGTCGAGTCAACGTGTAGAAGAGCAGATAAGCATCGACAACGGTGACAAACTGTTCGAGCACCTGACCAAACATCAGTAACTTGTACTCAATTATGTTGACGTTTGCACTAATTTATTTTAGGTTATTTGTTTCTGTCCAAGAATGTAATTACATGGCACGCTAGATTTTATTAATCAATTTGCATCCTTGAAATATTTAAATAAGACAAGTGGATAAAAAGTGTAGTATTTCCTGAATTCTTCAAATTCCAAAACCAAATGAGTTAAATGATGAGGTATAAGATATATCTTTTTTCATATATCAGGTGACACTTACTACCCCCTGACCGTTATAAAAACGGAAAAATATGTTGAATTTGTATCATATATATTTTACTTAACTATTACTTAACGTACTTAACCATTTGAAGCTTGAATTTTTCTTTTTATTCAGTAGTACTTGAAAATTGTAATTAAGCATATTTTCCTGTATACCTATAACGAATAAAGATATTGATGCGGTTTTCGCCACTTTGTAGGATTTTTTTATGCTCTTACCGAGCAATATGAAAAAGTATGCCGTTATATTTGAAGTTTTCGAAAAAAAAGCTGTGACATCAATGAAACGGTATCTAGTGGCTACGAAGTCCACTAATTTGACAAGATTGAGATTTGAATCCTATAGATTTCGAATGAAACACGATAATGAAAATCGGTGCAGCCAGACAGACTACTTTTTCTGAAATGACATTCAACCCTTCACCTATCCTAAACGAAACAAAATATGGAAAATGACATCGAGAACGAAGTTCGTAAATTGAGCAATCAACATAACAAGAGTAAATCAATACGTTAATTACGCATTTTATGCAAAAATAATTGCGTTTGAATTGCGTTTAATCCGGTATTAATTCAACACTCGAATTCGGGAACAGGTCATAAGTACCTAACTACATGACAGTTCCCAACGAATTCAGACTAGGTAGAAGGAGCAAGTCTACCATTTGTTTGGCTCTAAAATCTCATAGTCTGTCATCGGGATAGGATCTGGCCAGTTGGTCATCGACCAGTGCCAATAACAGACAAAAAAAAGTCATCGGGATGAAAGTTCATGTCGATCAGGCTCAAGCCGCCAGTTTGCCGGTTGTTGACATTTCACATGGAAATCGTATTTTTCATCGAAAACATATAAAATTGCGTGGGTCTTATACAGTCCTAGTGTTCCGGGCAATTATCGCTTTCTGTGGAATGCAAAAAACCGTTTAAACCGAATAATAGATCGATAAGTATTAATATACAGGGTGTCCAATAAGGATCCTATGCATGTGAATCTCAATACTGTTTGATATACACCTTAGGTTAAATTTGGAAAAAGTTGCGTTCTGACGGGCGTATTTACATGCCGTTGAGAAACTTGTAAACATTTCATGGTTTACTGAAACATTTGGGAAAAATTGAGTCAAATCATTTTTATTTTTTCTTACTTTATTTTAAGAAATATTATGTATTAAAAGAATTTTAAAAAACTAATGAACCTTTTCCATTGGTACTTTTTAGGCACTACCTGATGGTGTTTTTAAATTTCCTGTCCAACGGTTTATTTTTGAGAACTTTTCATCAAGATTATTTTATTATATGGTCCGAAAACAAGTACACCCTAGATCTGATAGCATTTTTTCACGAATTTAAAAACACCATCATGTAGTGCCTAAAAAGTACCAATGGAAAAGTTTCATTAGTTTTTTGATATTCCTTAAAATAAAGTCAGAAAAAATTAAAATGATTTGACTAATTTTTAGTTTTTCCCAAATATCTTAGTAAGTAAAAGTAAAGTAAAATTGTTACAAGTTTCTCAGCGGCATGTAAATACTCCCCAAAGAACCCAACTTTTTCCTAATTTAACCTAAGCTGTATCTCCCACAGATGAGATTCCCATGCATAGGATCTTTATATATCCTAGTATAACTGATATACAGTTACACCATGAAAACCCCAGAATAAGTTGAAGGTGTTATATTAACTTTTGTATTTTGTTTCCTTCTATATGGCAGCAAGATTAACGCATTTACTATGTAAACTGAACAATTTGAAAAGCTATACCACCTAGATCATTCATTGCCTTCTCACTATTTCAATCCATAGAGATAACATATTGCTTCTTTTTCAGAACGTCAAAAATTAAATTGCCCAGGAAGCAAGCTATGTATGAGAAAACTGACTTAAAATCGATCAGTTGTTTTAGTTGTAGCTACACTACTTATCGCAAATGTCATTTAATCCGCCACATGAAATTGCATGATAGAAAGAGTGCACCTTCTTCCAGGCCTAGTTTGGATATTCATTCATGTTCAGAGTGTTATGCAGTATTTACAAGTGAAAAAATATTGGATGATCATGTGAACCAAAAACATTTATCAACAGCATCTTCAGTTACCATTACAACATATAACTGTATAAAATGCATTTATACAACGACCCAGAAATCCTTTTTCGATAAACATATTTCAAGGCACAGGTCTGTAGTCAAATGCATTCACTGTAATGCAATACTGAGTTGTTCGTTAGCTTTAGATGATCATATAGTTAGGAAACATCCAAAATGTATTAAATCTGTGGCTAGGTTGATATACGAATGTTCTCAGTGCACTTATAAAACTGTTAAAAAAAAACGATTTTGGTGCACACATGTTAACCCATTCTGAGATTAGTTCAAATCTTAAGCTCCATAGATGTGACCACTGTAACTTAACATGCACTAATACAATAGGACTGGATGATCATATTTTTAGGAAACACCCTGAATTTATTAAATCTGTTGATAGAGAAATATATGAACGTGGCCCATCAGTTAGCAACACTTACAATCAGAGTAAATGCATTCACTGTAACATGAAATTTACTCGCGCAGGAGCATTGGATGATCATATTGTTAGAAAACATCCAGACCTTATTAAATCAGTTGATAGAAAAATATATGAATGTTCATATTGCACTTACAAAACTGTTAAAAAGAGTGACTGTGATAGACACATGGTAGCACATGCTAAAACTAATTCAAGCTATAACCCCAATACATGCACACTCTGTGATGCGGCATTTAAAAGCAAAACGGCATTAGATGATCATATAGTGAAAAAACATCCTGATTTCATGTTACTGGTAACCAGCAAATTACATCAATGCATAGAATGCAATTATAAAACTGTCCTGAAATCTAAGTTCAACAGTCATTTGATGACGCATTTTAAGATGCAACCTGAATTTTTGCAGTCATTTGATGGAAAAATATACGAATGTAAACAGTGCACTTATAAAACAGTTCAAAAGTGCGAACTTGATAGACACATGCTAACACATCCTGAGGCAGTTAGTAAACAGTCATCGGGAGATCATGTACATAGTCGTGCCATAAGTTCTGTCCCATGATAATCTCATGATAAAAATGAAACAAGATAAGATATATTTATATGAAAGATATTATTTATTCGACAACATTTTTAGAATTCATAATCAAACAGTTTTATTCAAAATGTCCCCCCTTGGCCTTCACACACTGCTTCAATCTCGCAGGCCACTCATCTATCACTGCACGCACAGCTTCCAAAGGAATAGCTGCCGCTGATCGGATCAAATCCGCATTCAGGGACTCGATATTACGGTGGGCTTTGGAGCAGGCCAACTGCTCTAGCAGGTCCCACAACTTGTAGTCTAAAGGATTGAGGTCCGGACTCCCTGAGGGCCAATCTTCCGCAGCAATGAACTCTGGCACATTGCTTTCCAGCCAGCGCTGCGTACTCTTAGCCTTGTGAGCGGGGGCGGAATCCTGCTGGTAGACCCAGTGTTGGTTGGCAAACAATGTACCACTTAAAGGCTTGACGATAGGATCCAGTATGTCGCTCTGATAGTTTGCCGCTTTTGTTTTCACGCCCTGTTTACAGAAATGGAGCTGAGTGACCCCTTCGTAGGACACCCCCCACCAAACCATGACTGACGCAGGGTGGTGGCCTCTCTCAACTCTCGGAGTGATCTCCGAAGCTTCCTGTGAACTCCTTGCATACACTTTGTCATTTTGTCGGTTGAATTTTTCTTCTATGGTGAAGATTTTCTCATCCGTGAACAAAATCTTTCGGAATCCCCCAGCTGCGTACCTCTCCAAGAGCTTCTTGGATCTTGTCGCCCTGATGTGTCGCAAGGTGGCCGTAAGTCGCTGGCCCGTACGTCTCCGGTAAGCCCCTAGCCCTAGGTCTTGTTTAATGATGCGCGACATCGTCCGGACAGGAATCTTCATTTCCCTGGATAGGATCTTCTGCTTCCGGAGTGGATTCCTTTGAATCCTGGCTTTTACGGCTTTGATGGCTGCTGGAGTCCTTACTTGACGAGGTCTTCCGCTTCTTGGCCTGTCATCAACAGAGGACGTCTCATTGTACCGCTGAATGGTCCTAGACATAAATTTACGCGATATTTGAAGGCCGCGTAAGAGTTCAAAAATCTGACTAGCACTGTGATTACACTTATGTAAAGCTATCACTGCAATACGGTTCTCTGCCTTGCCCCACTCCATCGTTATGCTTCGAGAGACAAACTGAAAATACATAATAAACCCAAAACAGAAACAATGACATTTCAGTGTTAAAGTATTCAGAAACAACAAATAAACCAAAATAAAAAATGCATTCACTGTGTTAAAGTATTCAGAACAAAATGTTTTAGTGATCTATACTGAAAAAACATCCTGAATTCAGCTCAACAGTTAAGAGCAAATTAGATCAGTCACAATTGTGTTTATGACAACATTGAAGCATAATTTTAATAGGCATATGTTATCGTATCATGGATTGTTCGAGGTTATGAGTCCAAACTGTGCACTCGATGCAATGTATCCTTCAAAGGTAATTTAGCCTATGATGGTCATATACTTAAGTACCATCCTGATTCTATCAATTTAGTTACTAGTAAGGTATATGAATGCAAAACATGTAGTTACAAAACTGTTTGGGCAGCTAATTTGAACAATCATCTCTCGTCACCATGTAAAACGGCAGTTTGAGTATAGTCCAACTTTTTAGATAATGTTAAAATACAGCCTCTTGTAAATTAAGCGAACTATGCGTTTTGAACAACCTTCTTTTAGTAACGAACAACTACCACTTTCTACATCGAATGGTAAACTGCGAATGAATACAATATCTATGTGAATCACTTTTTGCAGCTCGGCAGTGTTTTTTCCCGTCGTTCTTGCCGACCGGTCCGTGGTGACTCACCCAGACCACACGTACATATTGATACAGCTGGTTAGGGATAGTGGTATCGGTTGGAGGGTATCGATATTAGCATCATTTGATATATTTTAAAAACGGTATCGATTCTCTTCGATATTTATCTTGTAAGTATCGATAGGTTTAAGAATCGATACCCGTGGCCTTGATTTGTTTTGTTATTGCGGCGCTGCATCGCGCATCGCATCCGGGGGCCTACCGTACTCCTCAGTCCGACAGTGGCAGTCCGCAGTCGTCAGTCTAATATCTAATGACACTCAATGACAGTCTAATGTCTAATCCCGGGTCCCGGGGCTCATTTTAATCAGAGTGACTAGTTCAGGCCGTTCAAGTTCAGTTCATTTTCAATTCCTACTTGTGTTGTTAGTACAGTGTAATCCTATCCTAAGTCCTGCGTATCTTGCGATCGACAGTTTAGCAGTTTATCATCATGGCATCAGTGCTAGGACTAGTTTTATCAATAATTCTAATAAGTAATACCGCCCTTACTATAGATCATATGCCCTGCACTGAGAATATTAATCCTGCATTGATGGCGGAAGCTGGACGAATATTGGAAAATTCAATTCCACCCTGTTACCATTTGGTTGATTACTACCCTGTAACACAAACAGGGAGAAATCCACATCGCTGGATATGCCATTATCACCGACAAGACAATCTGTATAGACAAGATTGTCAGTATCTGACGGTAGTAAGTAAGAGGTGCTTTCCGGCAAGAGTGCCCAGCAGGTTGCGAAATTTCGCAAGTGACAGTATCCCAAAGCCCTAATAGAGAATTCGTTCAGGTGCAGTACTTGGTCAATTGTCGGTGCACAAAAATACCCAGACGTCGAAGAAGCTTATGGTCGTCTACGCCTAGGTCTTCCAACTCCAACTGCAGCAATTCTTACAATTTGGAATATATGCACGAAAAATCCAGCTGTACTGGTTAATTGTGACGTTGTATCGTCTCATATGTTTGTAATAAATAAACAAATAAATAAATGCTAGAATATCAATCGATGTATGGAGTGGTCATAGTGCAATTTATTTCGATTTAATACAGAAAATTAGGTAACAATACAAACTCGTAGTTTAACATTAAAAAAAAATATATGTGTAGAATCATTGAAACCAATCATTTTCTCCAATAGGAGAGAGAAATATCAATTTGTTTAGTCTTTTGCCCAAGAGCCGATTTCTAGTCTCGCTTACTATAAAACTTGCCTTGGAGAAGAGACGCTCTGCCGGAACAGAAGTAGCCACTACTGTAAAGAACATCAAGGCTAATTTATACAACTGAGGGTAAATAGCTATCATCTTTGTCCATTCTTCTAAAGGGTCACTGGATAAGGGTGCCAACGAATGTTTAAGGTATGATTGTAGTTCTTCTTCAACACCTTCAGAAGGTTTTGGTTGGCGGCTTCTATTTTCAAGTAATGTTTAATGATGGTTCCAAAAATCATTTGCGTCTTTTTCTTCTATTTGTTCAGTATATGTTGCCGGATGCTGATGACGATTTTCTTTTTTCATCATTTCTTTAATGGCTGCAAATGCATTTGCAAGTGCCCTAGGTTCCTTGAAATGTACGTTTTTAAATCGTGGATCCAAAATAGTTGCCATCGCTATAATTGAATTGAATTCTATTTTTCCAAATCTTTTTTTGAGTTCTGCCACTAATTGCTGTTTGGCTTCAAGAAATATGTCGGTCTCTAAATTTATTGTTTCGATATTATGCATTAAACAATTTATCAGTGGAATAACTTTCGATATGGTTACGTAACTTTCACCTGATAGCTCATTTGTTATAAATTCCAGAGGTTTTAATAGCAATATGATTTCTTTTATTTGCACCATCTCTACTGCGTTCACCATTATGGGGGCATTTGATGCAAACAAAAGCAAATCGTTAAGTATGCCCGCTAGTTCTTTAAAACGAATTAACATGTGATACGTAGAGTTCCACCGGATTTTTACATCTAAAATCAACTTTTTGGGAATTCCTGAAGATTCACCAGCATTTATTTGCAATTTTCTAAGTTCATCGCTCTGGTTGACGCTATTTTTTACCCATTTGACAATTTCCCGTACTTTTTCTATTACCGCGGAAATATGGTGGTGATGTATGTGTTGTTCTTGTTCATCTTTATTTGGCTTTGGCTTTAAAATAATATCAGTTACCAGGTTTATTAAATGAGCAAAGCACGGAATATGCCGATCTTTCCCAAAAGTTTGGTGTATGGCACTTACCATGTTAGCGCCACTATCCGTTATAAATGCTACCACTTTTTCTTCAGCAATGTTCCATTTATTTAGAAGTTCCTTCATCTGGGCACCAACATAGCTGCCAGTATGGCGCTCATTTAATTCATGCACCTCGATAGATGCTGAACATAGTTTATTATCCATCATATAATGTACAGCTTCGACAAGTCATCATCTCAGACCAAATGTTGCATGTTACCGAAAAATGAGAAATTCCGGAAAAAACTTTCTTGTAAACTTCGGATATGGCTTCGTATTTCATATCCAGTGCATTTTTAATCGTGGACACATGCGGAATGGTATAAAGACCACTTCTTTCATTATACCTTCAAGGCTATAAAACGGTCTATGATCTTTACATATGAAATATAAAATTGCGTTTAATATTTTGGCATTTTGGCTTCCACCCTCTTTATAAGATTGAATGGTTTTAAATGCCCTCTGTATTGGGCCACAAAAAGAGGAAGCTTCGCTTGAAGATATTTCAATAGCTTCTGAATCTAATCTTTGGTTGGAGCTGCTTGACTGAATTTTTAACTCATTGCTGGGAGCAGTAGGAGTATCAGTAGCTTCTTTTTCTGGATCATTACTGAAAAAAAAATCTAGACAATTTTAATTATCCCGTTTACAAGTACAATTAAAACTTTTTAGAAGCTTTCGACAATTCCAAAAATGCCATTTCAGCATAGTAGTGTCCTACGTGTTTGTAATTATATAAAGGGGCGTTCAGTGTGATAATGATGACATGCACTATACATAGTGACTTGTAGATACACAATATACAACACAGCACACACAGCCACATATTCCTCTTTTTTATCGGGCAAACTTACCTTGTAGTTTTTGACGAACTAGCTTTTGGGGTCCTATTGATATTGCTGTCACCATCTTTTTTGAGATGCTTGTGTAATTTTAGATGTTTAGCCATGTTTGTGGTATTGCCAGATGTTTTAATCTCTTTCAAACACGTTTTGCACACAACTAAATTCACACCTTTTTTTGAAAAAAAATTCCAAAGGTTACTTTTTGTTGGAGCCATTTTTTAACAATTTTTATGATGTAACGTATTTTACTCGTTTCGTTATGAACCGAATTTATACCGCTATTAAGTAGAGTAGAATCACCGATCACCGAATCAGTAAACTGTAAACTAAATAAAAATAATCTAAGAAATGCGAATGGTTGGAAGGCAATGAAATTTAAGTCATTCCCATAACATTTTTGTTTGCTTGCAAGAAATCTGAAATCATATCATATATGTCATAACATAATGGTCAGGGTCACCTAATAAATTTGATTCAAAACAAATAAATTTGATTAAAAACAAAGAACAGAGCTGTTGCCGCCGATCGACGATAAGATAACGTCGGCATATTTATCGCCTCGCCTCGCCAAATGTTTATTTCTTTTCTTATTTCTGCCGATGCGATATTTCCTTCGAAGAATCGATACCAAAAAAATATCGCAACGTTAATATCGATGTAAAGTATCGATATTCTCTTACCGATATATCGATACTCTGATGGTATCGTGTATCGATACCACTACCCTACAGCTGGTTCGATCGTTTCCTAACACTCGGCCATCCTGCAGAAAGCGTCCTCGCGTTTACCTGTTTTTGTTATTCCTGAAAAAAAAAAGAAAACCAAATGTGTGCAATTACTTGCTAACAAACTCTTAATACTCTATACTTAGTTCTTTCTATGCTACCTACATACATATTATTATCTATTATGTACATACATATGTATATGTTTTACAATCGACTTCTAACAGTCCTGCATTTATTCTTTCACATATTTATACTATAGCTAGTACCTTCTAACAGGCCTACTTAATCAATTATACATACATCCTATTTTATAAAATGTTTTTATGTCTCATGTCTTCTAACAGACCTACTTCGTTAACTGATTGTATACATTTTTTTTCAACCTTCTAACAGGTCTATTAATTCATCAGTACTGTTAACTTCTGAATCACTTTCGTCCGAATCACTAATACCTTTCACGTAAGGTCTTAACTGTTCAGCTGCAACTACTGCTTTATATTTTCT